TACGTCTTTGACCATGCCCGGCCACATGTAGTTTCTGGAGATCAACTCCATCGTTCGTTGCCATCCAGGGTGCCCAGCCACTGGAGTGTCATGATGTCTGTCTATTGCCTTGATCCTTGCGGACTCAGGCACATAGATTTTGTTTTTGAAATGAAAGAGCTCGTCTTTCCATAAATAGTTTTCATTGCCGTCAAAGGCGCGCCTTTTCCTCTGGGGAGATGTCTTTCCTGAAGACTTCCAGGAGAGCGGAATCTTGCCCGATTCTAACATTGGCAACCCTTGATTGATCTATCAGGGTGACACCTTTGTTGTCATCTTCAATGCCGTTGGCATGATCCTCTCTTCTAGATAAAGCATCCGCTTTCCCCATTGAGCTTCCTGGCTTATGAATTAATTTATAATTGAACCTTGACAAGTACACCGCGTAGCGGGCTTGTCTCCGGTTCAGGTCTCGGGCCGTCATGAAGTACTCTAGGTTCTTATGATCGGTCCAAATTTCGAATTGGTGCCTAGCACCTTCTAAGTAGTGCCGCCAGTGCTCTAAAGCTCTAATGATAGCCAGCATCTCTTTGTCGTATATTTGATAGTTGCACTCTGTAGGCGACAAACTATGCGATAAATAGGCACAAGGCCTCCAAAGATCATCAGGGCTTTTGATTGATAGAACAGCCCCAGTGGCGAAGTCAGAAGAGTCGGTTTCTAGCCGGAACTCTTTGTCTAATTCAGGGAATGCCAATATGGGCGCTGTTGTAAATGCCTGTTTAAGCTTATCAAAAGCTTCCTGTTCTTTGGCGCCCCAATGCCAAACAAGGTCCTTTTTGGTGAGATCGTTCAACAGTCTCGTGATTTTTGCGAAGTCTTCAATAAACCTTCGGTAGAAATTACCTAAGCCTAGGAAGGCCCTAACTCCTTTGACGCGAGTAGGTTCTGGCCATTCCAAAATAGCTTGAACTTTCTCAGGGTTCATCCTGATTCCGTTCTGGCCTATGATCATACCGAGGAAGTCTACTTCCTTCACTTTAAAATTACATTTTTCGGGTTTAAAAAATAGGTCCCGTTCCTGTAAGCGTCGAAGGACTTCTTGCACGATCCTGTCATGCTCAGCCTCATCGTCCGACTTTGTAAATATTAATAAATCATCAATGTAAATGACGACACAGTTTTCCATATCCGCAAAGATCTCGTTCATCATGCTCTGGAAGGTCGCCGGTGAATTGGTCAACCCAAAGAACATAACAAGGGGTTCGAAAGATCCTCGGTGGCACGTGAATGCGGCCTTCCAAGCATCTTCCTCTTTGATTCGTACATTGTTGTACCCCCATCTGAGATCCATCTTTGTCAGGATTTTGGCGCCAGCCAATTTGTCCACTAGCTGACTAATCAAAGGCAGAGGATACGCATTTTTAACCGTGTGCTCATTTACGTAACGATAGTCCATAATCATTCGCTTTTTACCATCCTTTTTAGGAATGAAGAACACCGGGGACGTCATAGGACTTTTGGAAGGTCTGATGTAACCCTTCCTAAGTTGTTCGTCTATGAAACTAGATACCTCGTCTCTTTCGGGAGCAGAGAGCGGTATCATGTGTCCCTTCCTTGGTTTGAAGGTGTCTTTCAAATCTATAGCATGGTCCCAAGGCTTAGCCTCTGGGAAGCGCTCTGATTTGTGTTTCGAAAAGACTTTCCAGAAGTCGTGGTACTCGGGAGGTACCAGCCTCTTAATCTCTTCCTCAGGTTTTACCTCATCATCGTCATCGTCGATCTTTTCTAAAGATCTGAGCTCGTAAACGTGACTAGCGTTTAACTTTTCGAGACGCTCATTGTGACGGACATGATTTGGTTTACCCAAGTTTACACATTCCTGGGGACAACGTGACAATGTGACAACCCCTGTCTGCCAGTTGATCTCAGGATTGTGTTTAAATAGCCAGGTCCAGCCTAAGATTAAATTAATCTTCCCTAGTTGGGTAGCCTCGGCAGTGACTCGTTTTCTGTGTCCTTGGTATTCGACCACAAAAGAACATTTGTGTGTAATACAGCCACCTGCGTTAAGCGTACCGTCAACGTTATAGACGGGAATAGACGTTTCTAATTTTACAAGGGGGAGTCCAATTTGCTCTGCCCAGACCTGATCTATGAAGATCCCGTTAGCGCCTGAATCAAGCAGTGCGCTCGTTGAGTGTACTTTGCCCCTGGCAAGGTTTTCCACGCCAACGTCTAAACGGATCTCCTTTTGGAATAAATACGTGCGCATCAACACACGCCTTGGGATTTCGGGAAAGGGTGGCTCCGAAGAAGAAGAAGGAGAAGAAGAAGAAGAAGAAGAAGAGATCTTGAATGACACATGTTTTTCTATTTTTGTTTTACCAGAATCAAGCACCCTAGTGTTTGTCTCGCCGGGGCCACGCTCCAAGGGAGACGCTGGTGCAGCGGTAGTATCATAAATATTACAGTTACATTTCTTTATACAAGTACATACTTCTGATAACAAGTTTAAAAACTTATTTACAAATTGGGGAGCCATCCCCGTCATTCCGTTATTGCTCGTGCAACACCCCGGAGCAGGGGCCACTTTGTTGTGGTTTACTTCATTTTTGCCAGGAGCTAAGGTACCCAAGTGACCTAAGCCCCGAATTCTTTTCCCTGAGCCTTCATTTCGTTGACCTGTTGGTCATAGAAGAAGGCCCGGATTTCGTCGTAAGAACGACCGGCCAAAGAGTTGAGCCGATCGTCCGGTTTTTCGTTTTCTAGTTGGCGCACCTGGCGCCCTTTATTTTTTTGTTGGGCAGCCTGCGCCCCGTTTCTACAGTCTCGGGACATGTGTCCCTCTTGGCCGCAGTTGTAACAGTTGCCCTTGAATCTGCGCATTTGTCCGCCTTGGACCGCGCCGATATCCATAGGAGCACCCTGTCCTGGCTGCAGCCCGAACAGCTTGAACCCGTGAGAGTGATTATGATGTTGGTTTGATGACCCAGGGCGCCTCTGGGGTGTGTTGTTTTGTTTGGTGGACCCGCCACCTTGGTGCATGGTGTAGAGCTCTATGGCTCTACCGACTCGTCGTACTTCCTCAGCCGCCAGGGCCAAGTTGTCACTTCGTGTATCCTGCAGATAGATCTGTTCTGCAATGCGAGGGTTCACATTGCGTTCTAGCAGTTCCACTGCGTGTTCATTGCCAAGACCCCCTTGGATTGAGAGGGCCAGGAACCGGGTTACAAAATCATCCGTCCTCATGTTTCCTTGTTTGAAGGAACGGATTTGCTGACGCGCCCAGTCACGCTCAGCTTGCGGTTTGAAATATTTTTCTATCTCTGTTTTGAGATCGTCCCAGGTGGGCCACACACCCGCGGTGTAGCATTCCTGGAGTCTTACTTGGGCGTATCGACCCGCCACAGGTCCTTTTAGGCGAGATAGCACCGCAGTGGCTACCTCAAAATCGTCGGCGAAAGCGTCCCAGTTTGCCTTGACCCAAATCTGGAGCTTGATCCACCATTCGGCAAATCGCGCTCTGTCTCCTTCGAAGGCGCCAGGGTCAGCGACGACTTCGACTTTCTTATTAAACCTTTTCTCTACCGAGGGGGTTGCTACAGGGGGGTTGGCCTGTATCTCGGCGAGCTGCGAGGTTAATTCAGCTATCTGCACACGCATTGCGTGCAGTAGCGCATTCATATCTTGGGGTTGCGACGACATGTCGACTTGTTCTCTTTGGGTAACGTAAAAATAGGTAACTGGGGGTCCCCGCTTGCTATCTGCGGATCAACCTCTTCCCAGCTGAGTATCGGATCTCAATCTCCGACTACCCACACTATAGTATTTGAAAATGTATATAAAATGTAAACGTAATAAACCCTGGTCCGAACGGTTGTCAGGGGGTGGTCCGCTTGTTAAGCTGTCAACCCTTCTCCAGACTGGCGGAGGCAAGTGCCCGGCCTGGTCAGAGGTATTCGAAAAAGAAGTTATGTATTTTTATTCTAATCAACAGTGGTTCCACACCAGCTGCTGAGCTAAGTACTCCCCTTAACGCTGGGGGCCGCGTATCACAGGTTTTGGGTTCTTCTCCCAAAGCACTACGAGGCCGTCGCTAGGAGCGCACCTATTTGCTATACGGGATATTCCTAACCGCTAACCAATCTCCTTCACCCTGGAGTCCGGGTGCCCAGTGGGACTTTTTGCACAAACGTGCGAGAGAGTAGAAAGAGCGAGTCCTAATGTAACAACCAAGAGTTAGTTACTCTGGCGCACACAAGAACACACTATAAAGAAGATGTTGAGGGAGTGGTTACCCCTTAAGCTGCAGAGAGTTTGTTGGTATACAACAGGAGGACTCGCTGAGGAGTCTCCTGGATCTATTGGGGTATATATACTACTACAGGTTGTTTGTACATGTGTACTATACAGTTGATGAAGGCAGTGGCTGATGATGTCATAGGGTCTAGCCCGTATGGCCAGCTCCACTGCGTGAGAGAGTTAAGTCTAAAAGTAAAAGAAAGGCAACGCAGCGCGAGAAAGGGAAATGCCGCGTGGTACTTAAAGTATAAAGTTAAAGCGGAGAATAAAAAGGAAAGGAGATGTCCGGAAATTGTGTTATCGTAACATTAGATACAGGTACACTGATGGCAATTTCATCGTCATCATCATCAATTAATTGAGCTGCCTCAGACTCTTTCTCACGTGCTTGGACCTTCTGTGTATTGAGACAAAACTGGCGTGACATGTATTGGAAATGTAGGTGGATTCGTTGTTTGAGGTCCTTGGGAAGTAAGAGTCGAAGCATCCTGGATATGGTGGGAAATTCTGCAGGTGCGTTGTTGACTACCCAAGATTGTATTGCAACTAAATTGCTACTGTTCGTGGCTTCATCTGCTGGCATTTTCCATTTGAACCGAAGGAACGGCTGATTTGTAGCTTGATCAACAGGCCACATACTTTGGCTGATAGAGGAGGGGAAATTGGGTAAGTGTTTTGCTTCCGGTTTATCTACACCCATTTTTCTCATGAACACTTCATTTATAGCATCCTGTTGATAGCTATAGGTTAATTTTTTTTATTGTAGTGTTTGCATAATATATTTACTCACCTTGACAATTTTTGAGTCGGCCACTTCAAGGCTTATATTCTCTTTTTGTTCCGGTGACAGGGTCTCCAAATCAACACTTGACGGATCAATGTTGGAAAGGGAAATATTGGTGTTGGTAAGTGACTGTGTTGTGCTTGCATCATTGTTATTGACTTGTTCGGCTGCCTGGTCCTCTCCATTATTGTCGTACTCCACACATTCTACACCCATGTTTTTGTTCAAGAAGTCAACCTGTTTTTTCAGGCTTTCAATGTCAGCTTTCATCTGCAGATTGTCCTGCTTCAAGAGGAGGTTTTTGGCATTCAGAATCTTGACACGTTTGTCTGTTAGATCCTTGAATGCAAGGTGAGTAATCTTCATCTCTTCAATGTCTCTTACAGCCGCTTTGAGTAACACAATATTTGTGTTAGGTGCTCGTTCGGCTGATGGAGCTTGGAGTGTTGTGTGAGAGGACATCTGGAGTGTTTTTTTGGGGGGGCATAAAGAGATGGTGGCATTAGTTTTATGCTATGTAGGAGGTCATGTAAACTATACAGCAACATTTTCTTTGCTGTCTATCAAAGTGCGACTCAGAGAAGCAGGAGGATATTAATCTATATTGAGGGATCAGTGTCAGTTTATATTATGTAATACTCAAGGATAGCGAAATGATAATACCTCGATATTGGTAACTCCAGATTACAACGAAGGGTATTGTGGTGTAAATCCAAGTAGAATCCAGTGAACGCTGGCGGCACAATTTGTGCATTCGGTATTCATTCAAGCCAGTTGATATCTGGTGAACATCTGGTTGAAACGCAGCGGGAATCTGCGGATGTTCGGGAAATTCCCATGTTGCATAATTTGGGTTTTTTCGCAGTGAACATGATCCCGCACACAACACAGTGGACAACGCACATTGCGAACTGACAGACAAAGAAGTATTCTACTTCTGACAATCATCCTTACAAGCAGTCTTTTGGTATTCCAATAACGAAGATGATAAACATCCTCGCTTGATCTGCATGGTGCCCATGATGGTCTGCCCCTGTTTGAGGGGGGATTAAGGTCTATGTAAAGTATACATGTGAAGCAGCAGCTGCATCAGGAAAATGTGAGGGCGGTGATAATACCAGGTGGAGTTTAAAATACACTATAATCCTGACATGTTGCTGGCAGGAAATACCTACCATTATCTTAGTATATCAGGACGGTACTGATAAAACCGGATAAACCCGGTCTCTGCCAAAGCAGCCATTGTTCTCCATGGAGCATAGCCACCACTCCATAGAGTCACCATTGTTCTCCTAGGAGTCAATATACTATAGCGAGTAGCACCTCCGGCTATAAGTAGTAGGGGGTTTAGTATAGAAATACCTCAGTTGTTTCTATAGCCTCTTGGGCAGCGGCTGAGTTTCACATAGTTTTATTAGGTTATGAGCCCTGGTGCGCAAAAGCTACGCAGGAAATAATTCTTATTTGAAACGGCAACCTTGGAACCATGACCACAGCACACGATACATCTGCTGTCGATGATGAGAACTGCAGTTAGAAAAACCACACACAAAACAAACTAACACACAATCCTCCCAGATTCCACGGAACTTGTTTATGGGCTTTGCCTCCTAGAACAGTGTAGTGGTCTGGTTGTTCGTGGGGTGGTACGTATAAAGATCCTTCAAAGTAAAACCCAGAGGTGTATGAGTGTGGGTTTTGAGGAGGAGGGATAGTTGAATTTATAGAAGGATAGGGGCTTTGTGATGAGTATAGACGAGCACTACCTTGCTAATTGTAGCACAAGGTAGGTTTGAGAATGACAACATGACGAGGTTCCCAGTGATAGCAGGCTCCTGACACACAGACTGTAGTGCTCAGAAGGACTCTAATCGAAAGGGGTAACAATGACTTCAAAAGTGGGAAGTGACGATGACAGCAATTAACAGTGGTAGCAGTGGGAAGTGTTGTGACCACACTGGATCACAAGTAGCAGAGTAGTGAACTTGAAGGTAGAGAAGAAGTCTGGAATTGAGTTCTTGTTGTTTTTTTTACAAGGTAAAATACAGGGGTTTATATAGTAAAAGAAAAGTAGGCTATGCACAGTATAGCTGTGCAAAAAGAATGAGAAAGAACATGAAGGAAGGAATGTATGCTGACAAATCCTGCGTAGGTAGTACAGGATAAGATTGTCAAAAAAAGGAAAAGAAAGAGATAGAACAATGAATGCTGTGAGTAATGTCACAGGTTTGTACAGCCATAAAGTAAAGTCCAATAGCAAAAAGAGAGCAGGAAAATCATGATGTCATGGGAAGATGCAGTAAAAAAAGGGCAAGGCAAAACACTATCAGTATCAACACAGTTCCTTTATTGTCAGTCAGGCATTCTAAAAAAATATGTGTCCATAAAAATGATTCAAAAATCAAAAATAATCGCACTGTAAATGAATGTTCTGCTGAAGAAAAGAAACTGGAGCCACAGGTCCACCACCTAGTCCAAATCCGACAGTTCCATGGCCTTACCAATGGACTGGTTGTGTTGGACCACCTGGTCAAACGAGGGAGGGAGAGGAGTAGTCCCAATTTGGAACAAGTGAGTCCCAGGCAGCGTGTGGTAGGTGTAGCTGTAGCGAAGACGATGGACAAAAGATAAGTGTACCCAAGTGAATGGGACAGCAATAAACATGGGCGACGCAAGGGGATGAACCTTCTCCAGCTCAAAAATTACCCACCCACGCTCCAACCAGGCAAGACGAGCGACCGATGTTTTGATAGTATATGATGGTAGATTGACGTCATAAAGATGGACCTGTTGCCCTATTTGAACTGGCCGCCGGGGCTTTGCTGATATCAGCAGTGGCACGTGGTAGTCAACGGATCGGTGACGGAAGCGGATAGGAAGTGGTGACATCAGAAATGGTGGGGGTGCAAATAAAATGAGGAGGAGGAGGGTGGAGGTGACGAAAAAGTGGATTAGAATGGGGATCCAGAAACGACCGTCAGGTGAGAATAAAAAGGAGAGGAAGGGGCCCATGGTGGGGCTAGGCAAAGGAAGGGGAGTAAGGGAAACGACAAAAGCGAGGGCACAATGCAATGTGTAGCCAGTGGCGACGCAAAAATTTGCCGAAATGCCGAAACACGGAAAGTACCGGATGGAAAAGCAAAGGTGAGCGTGACTGGATTGCCTAATAGAGGTGGTGCTGATCAGCCACAAGTTCAAAAAGGGCAATATTAATTACTATTCCACGTGGCACTGTGCCTGTGTGGCGAAAAGGCGAGTCTTTTGAATATTCGCTTCATTATTGACACCTGTCCATGCTATTACTCAACTTTGGTGCATGACACCGCATGTCCAGTTCTCACTGGACCCAACAATTTTCAGATATGGAAACTCCGGATCATCTCAAAGCTACGTCGGGAAAAAGTTCTCCGGGTTGTTACTGGAGAGGAGCTTAAGCCCTCACCAGGAAAACCTACCTCCTCAGAGGATCCTGAGATTACCTGGATACTTAAGGATGAGAAGGCACATGGAATCATCCAGGACCACATCTCTGATGCCCTCCTAATGAGGACTGGAGACCTCACCAGCTCCAAGGAGTTATATGATAAACTTGTCTCACTCCATCAGACGTCCAACATTGCCTCGGCCTTCTATTCATTCCAGCAACTCACCAAATTGTCCTGGGATGGGATATCACCTATCCAGGACCACATTGTGAAAATCCAGACAATTGATTCACACCTCTCCGGAATGAAACTAGGAGTTGATACCAAAATCATGGCCTTTGCTCTTCTCCAATCTCTCCCATGCACTCCTGAATGGCAAATATTTCAGTCATTGGTAATCAACACGATTGAAGAAAATAAACTTACCTTTGATGCAGTTGAGATCCGGATCACTGCAGAAGTTGCACGACAGTCAGGGAAGGCCCCTGGAGGTTCCAAATCAGCACTCAAATCTGAGAAGAAGTGGTGTGACTTCCACAAAGCCAAATCACACAACACCTCGGAGTGTCGAACACTTCAGTCAGCCGGAAAAGGTCAGAGGAAGAAGGGAAAGGAAAGACACAAGGATAAAGGAAAAGAAAAGGAAAAGGCAAATATGGCGGAGCAATCATCTGGATCTGACTCCGAGGAGGAACAGAGTCATATTGCATTGGAACATGTACATATTTCCAAGCCCCTTGCTAAACGCATTCAAGCTTGCCTTGTGTCGGAACCCGATAAGACCAAAACAACAATTATTATTGACTGTGGAGCAACATCCCACATGGTCCCTCACCACTCCTGGTTTGAGCCAGGAACATACCATGTTCTGCATCCTCCGAGGACAATCAGTTTTGGGGATGAATCCTCTGTAAATGCCATTGGCATTGGAACAGTAATCCTACAAGCAACTGTTGGCAAAAAAGACTACAATATTGCACTGTCAAATGTCTTACTTGTGCCAAACTTCACGTTAGCACTTGTCTCTGTCCACAAATTGTCCAAAACGGGGTTATCAACACTTTTTCCAGCAGGGTCAAATGCTTGTGAAGTTCGGAAAAAGGAGGAACTTATCCTCACTGCGTTACACAAGCGAGGACTTTATCACATCCAAGCAAAACCCGAAATCAACCCGGAGTCAGCTTTTGCAGCAGTAGATGTAAATTTATTGCACAGGAGAATGGGACACATTGGAATGGACTGCTTGCAACAAATGGTTACAAAAAGACAGCTCCAGGACATAGACACCCTTACCGGAACCCCGGAGTTTTGTGAACCTTGTGCTTTAGGAAAGATGAAGAAATTACCTTTCAAGTCCACTAGAGGAAACCGAGCCAAGCGCCCCATATAAATTGTGCACACAGATGTTGGAGGACCAATCAAACCAACTTCCAGGGAGGGTTTTCAGTACTGGATTATCATTGTAGATGATTTCTCCAAATTTCCATGGATATATTTCCTAAAACATAAAAGTGAAGCACTGGAATGATACAAGCAATGGAAAGAAGATGTCCAAACATTCTTCCGGACTCATTTGGGAGAAGAAAACTTCACTCCACTATACACAGAATTCCTCCGGAGCGATGGGGGAGGAGAATATACTGGCAATGCATTCAAAAATCAACTCCGAGGAGATGGTGTCATCCAAGAAACTACAGCTGCAGATACTCCGGAACAAAATGGCATTGCAGAACGCATGAATCAGACATTGGCTACATTAGCAACCACTATGCTCCATGATTCCAAGCTCCCAAAGTCATTTTGGGTAGATGCCATGCAAACAGCTGCATATATCATAGCACGCAGCCCAGCATCAGGACTCCATGGAAAGACCCCATATGAAATACTGTTTAAAAGGAGAGTTGATCCAACTTTGTTTCGCCCTTTTGGATGCCAAGCATATGCCTTGATTCCGAAAGACAAAAGGCAAGGGAAGTTTTACTCCAAGGGGTGCAAAGCCATAATGATTGGCTACACACATGGAAAGCAAGCCTACAA